TGATTCTAATAGACATTGCTTCCACCTGTATATTTTTTCCTTTGCACGCAGAACTAGATCTGTATGCGTGGTAGCTCCGAAAGGATCTCCTACGACTAGAAAGGCGACGTCTTCGTCCTCTTTTTTTGGCAATATCTCATCCGCGCCACTCTCTACAAGCTCCCGGTCAGCTGCAATCAAGGAACGTCCATAGAACTCTTCCTAAAAAATGACATCTGATATATTGTTAAACTAAAAATGCGCGAAATACATATTATGCTAGGCGAAAATGAGAATTAAATTGTATGTTATTTTCGACGTTTTGAATGTAATACAAACCAAGATTTCTTGTTGTACCGTCAAAACAGAGGTATAAGATTCCAGATACACGCGATCACATTTCCTAATAATTTCAAGCCCTTTGACAGTGATGTCCTTGGCATCACCCAGTCCTAATCCTATCACATAAAACATGATTTCTGCTCGGAGCTGACGTCCACGTTCGTTATCCTAACCCTGCAAAACATGCATCTTTTAGGTTCTGTATCATGTTGCGCCGAAGATTCGTCTGACCGATGTAAATTCTGAAATTTCAGTATTGCCAATGTGAACTAACTATAAAATCCCTATCAGTATCGTTGTGTTCGGAGCATTCTGTGTTCGAAATATCGAATTCCTTTTATGCAAAGAAAAAATTGGATTAAAAAATTGGACTTTAAAATATATATCTTTATATAAAACAAAATTTGATATATCTTCTATCATCCGAACTCAAATTAAAATTAACTTAATCGATGATTAAGTTAATCTACATAATCATTTGCTACAAATTTCTAATTGTATATATTTTTTATCCTATCTAATAAAAGAACAGGATTAGGAATTAGAAACAATAAAGAAAGAATAAATATTAAATTTTAGAAATAAAATTAATTAATAGAGATTAAACAATGCAAAATGGGCATAAATAAATATGAGATATATAGCTGCTTAATTAAAAATATATATATATATATTAATTAAAAATATATATATATAAAAATAAATATTAATAATTTATTTTTGTTTCTAATTCCTATTTCTATCCCTCCATTACATTATGTGCAGAACCTAATCTAATTTTTCTTGCTATAAAACAACAATAAATATTGCATATTTATCAAATTTATTAGTCTACAAGTATTACTTAATGTGTTAATAATGATAATTATCTCTCAGTATTTTATCATTATTAGTTACACTGATTTGTTATCAGTGAAACTTATCAACTGACGAATCGGGGAAATACCGTCAAGGGACTTTTAAATCCTTCCGAAGTGATACCGCGCTAACCATGCTGAATATAGCATTCCGTATTCCGTCACAGATGGGCTAATTCTGCTAGATTCTACCGGCTCGGAGATTCCGAGAAAGAAGTGTGCGAAATTGTGCGAAAATAAACTTCTCGCGGACGGAGGATGCTGTTGCACCGAATGTCGTCGTTGTTCCGCGGAGGAACTATTCTTAAGAAGACGAAAGTGATATCAAAGCCGTTTCTCCGAACGACGATAACCACGCCGTCCGGGGCGATTCTACCCGAACCGAAGAGAACGCCATTCAGTTTTCTGGGTGTCGTCACCAGCGTGATATTCGGTCTGCTGGTCGGCGCCACAATCAGCAAGAACATTGCCAACTTCCTGGAGGAGAACGATCTCTTCGTTCCCTCCGACGACGACGATGACGATGACGACGATTAGCGTTCAGCTAATTTTGTCCTGTTGTGATTGTTGAAATTACTCTACCGGCTAGACGTGCTCCTAATGTTAATTGAGGGTAATTTTTTAAGTTCTTGAATTGATAGGTCTATTCTTTTCAGTTGAACTTGTTGCACAGTTCATCTTTTCTCTTTTTCTCGCCAACGTAACTGTGCAAGAAGTTTAGCTGAAATGAATCTAGAAAAAGGCTTAATTTATAATGTAATTATATATGCAGGATCGATTGATATTGATCACGTTCAGGAAATACAATGATTGTACAACAGTTGAATAACTCATCAACATAATTGATTCAGAAATGTAACAGTAAAGACCAATAATTATTGATTCACTGATCGTTTTGTTCCATTGAATGTATCCATTATTATTTGCTGTTTCAACTTTTAAATTTATATATACATACATAGAAAAAGTATATCAATTTGTCAAAAGTGACATGAATCGAAAGAGTTAATTTTTTAGGAAATCAATTGAGAAAAGTTTGTACAAAATTTTGAATTCATTATTTTGCGCTAAAAATGATTTTTTAGTTGCATAATTCAAAAAATATCATCTATCTGTACAATAGAGATTAAAACAATTCAATTTCTAAGTTGATATTATTATCAAATAATAGGGAAATATATAATTATGTTCTTGCAGATAAAGAAAGGGTCACTTTTAAAACTGATTTTTGCAGATATCTCAAAATCACTGTCACTTTTTTTGTGAACCAATGATAGATATATATATATATATATATATATATTTATTTATTTAATATAACGAAAATAATATGTTTGTATGAATTGAAAAGACAAACGGTAACTGTGTGAAACAAACTGTTAATTACACTTGTATAATACATTGATTAATAGTCAATTCTAATGAGACTGTTGACACTTATAATCTCGCATTTTGATTGACTATGACTTTTGATTTTTCGATCAATTTTTGCTTGTTGTTTAGAATATTGTCTTGTTACAGATTCAAGTTTAACGCTGTGGTGATGCGAAACCAGTAATTACACAAATTCGCATAACAGAGGAAGACGAGTCTCTTCGCTTTACACAATTTAGGTACCTTATTTATGATACGCTTCAATACCTGAGATTATGTAAATTATCATAGAAATATTTATTTATACAATTGTTGAAAGTTAAGTAGAAGTTTTACAAAATCTATGTATTTATAAATCTATATATATATATATATATATGTGTGTGTATATATTATATCTATAAATAAATTGTGTTAAATATAGTGTAAGTAATACAAAAACGCTCATTATGGCATCTGTACAATCGGGCGGTGTTATAATCAGATGTGTACATGTGATTATGATTATACGTATCTTTTTTTCAGTCTTCAATTAATATTCACAAATTTTCAAATGCAATTACCAATAGTCTGCTCGAAATTGACACGACGGTATTTGCTAGAAGCACAGCGTGAATCTAAAACTCGTGAAAAAAATCCTATTTTAATCCTTTTAAGACTGTACAAACAGTTGACCTATAACTTCTTACAGAGGAATTGATATTTCTCTATAAAAAAGAAAAGAAAAATGCTTTCTTTTTTTTAATATTACGATTCGACGATAAACATCTGTATCACAATTCATCGAACAATTTTTAAAAATGTGTACTATCACATTATCTGAGAAACGTAAACTTGCGAAAAATAAAAAGATACACAGTCTACCTGTACGAAAGTTCATAAATATGGAAATACATGTGCATAAATAAATAAATAAGTCTCGTTGGATACACAGAATATGAATTATAACAATTAAGAATAGACGAGTCTCTTTTCACAGTAAAATAGGAGAGAATCGCATCACAGAGAACCTTGCTGGACTCATAGATGGAAATACGAGAGAATAACTCTTTACACTTGCATCCATCTGAGTTAAAAAAAATAAGACTGAGTCAAAGTGCCCGTGCTAATAAATAGAAATCTGAATTAAATTACATAGTAATTAAGAAAGCAGTCCGTGAGGAATTATTCGGTAAGTCCAAAAGCAAAGAAGCAAACGCGAAAATGTAAACTTTACTAATTAGATTCGTTGTTATTTTGTGAACGATTATTGCATTTCCTAATCCAAATCGATCGTTCGCGCATTCGAAAATATTGCGATGGATTGACTTCCGTTTGATCGATATGCGAAGCGCGAGTAAGCAACGAAGAGAGACAGAATCGCGACACATTACATAAAAATGTTTTGTCGCTTGTGTATCACACTCCGCCTGTGTGTGTAAAACTATTTCCGAACAGTAAGCGTAATAAACACTGATTCGATTTTACTGCGGCGGTCTTTTGTGCGCACCCCAACCATGAAAGCATTTCGTGAATCTTCTGGACTCCTTACCTTTGGCAGTTAAAAATAACTTACGGGGTTTCTCGGGTTGCTTCACACGCAAGTGTTGAATATATACCTGAAAAAAAAAAAAGATTATTAATTTTTCGACATTCTATATCGTCCCGACCGCTCAGAATTAATTCGCTTTGTAAAATACTTGAACAATAACGTTTTCTCAAGAATCATAACAGTTAAATTTATGCAACTCACCTGAGCTGACTTGTAGGCTAATTTGATCTCAACTTCCGAACAGCGAGTACCTAACCAGAGAAATACTTGTTCTCCATTATCAAGAATCATTATATCATCATCTGCCAAATCATCCTGCAAAAAAAAAACATTATCCATTTGTCATAAAAAAATCTGAAAAATTGCGATACATCAAAAATTTACTATTAATAGGAATATCTTTTTTATATTGAAGATTTACTTGACAAAAATCGGTACACTTTTCGCTGATTGTAAAGTATCCTTTCTCATTGGAACATCTAAATAGTCTTGTATAATTCATATATTCTGCATCAGTGTCGTACGGTTTCTTTCCTCCAAGCGCCACCCAGAAAAAATTGTCTGGTTCCTCGCCTTCATTTAATACTTGCAGACTTATCCATGGCTGTATCGAATTATTTATATTTATTGTCATCAATGAAATACAAAAATATAGATTTTTTTCATATATAAGGAAGACTATTTCTTAGAAGAAAAACATAATCGTTTTGAATATTTCGTTTAGCATTTATATTTACAATTACAATAATTTGAAGAAAAGTCGAGTTTTATGCTTCTTGAGATCTGAATACGAAAGATTTATAACTCACATTGTTGAACATTTCTTCTGCTACTTCTGCGATTAGACGAGCGTCCTCAGGATCAGCTTTCGACCCGATCCACGCATATACAATGCCGGTTCCTTCATCAGAATTATTGAATGGCACATTTAAAAGATAACTATAAATAAAAAAAGTAAACGAGATGTATTATACTTGTAATAATTGTATACATTTGACATAATATGTCTTACCAAAAAGCAGAATTTAGTAATGTCGAATCCGTTGGTATTTGAATAAGTCGAGTACATAAGGCACTGCCATTACTTCGTAAATGATAGAATTCCACTTTATTATTATCCGCAGTCTTCGGTTGTTTACGTTTGCCTTGATGAATGATGAATTTTCGCTTGAAGTAGCTCATGAATTTTAAATTTTCTTGTTGCTGATGTGTCCTTACAACCTCCAAGTTTTCACCGAATAGCGATTTGAATTTCTTTTGCAGACTGAAACAGGATAGATATGATTCACCTGACATCGAAATGTTATGGATAAATATATCTACAATCTTTACCTAAATGTAAATGTCAGCCATCCCATGTTTCCTGCATCTCTACCCTGCCAAAAGTATACCGTACACTGATAATCGTCTTCGTATTGCTCCTCACCATCTTCATTCTCCGTTATATCAAGCGGCTAGTTTAATCAAAAGCATAATGACAATTTATCGTGAATTGATAGATTCATATCGATAGAATGACATATCGATGATTTTACATACCATCCAATATCGGCATAAGAAAACATAACAATCCGCGCTGTAAAAATGGCCCATTTCTTCTTCCGGTAAACGTACGAATTTTTTTCCCTCCAACACTAAAGCTTCCATTCCCTCCAAATCATCATTCCACTCTGTCATAAGCTGATGCGCTTCAGCAGCCGACATCAACGGTTGCCGCGGCATGAATAAAGCAGCCAAATCCGCCTAAAAGGCAGAGAAAGATAAGTATATATTTTAAATAAAAACAATATAATAGAGCAAAAATGTAATAATATACCTTTGTTTCTTGTTGCTTAGCCCATTTAGTTAAATCCGCTCCAGTTTTAGCAACTGATTCAGCTGTTCTAGTGAAGTCCACAGCTATTACTTCGTCCCATCCAGTAAATTTAGATTTGAAAATCTACATAATGTATAAAGCAAGTATCTTATGGTGAGTGATAAATTTGTCAAATCAAAAATTTATGAATTCAATTAAAGAAGATACATACCTGTGATTCAGTTCCTTCTTGTAATCTCGTTACCATCGCGTATTCTGGCCTTTCTATCATGTTAAATAATTCCTGAGATAATTTCACAGCAGCGGCACGTACTAATCTCGTCGATTTTTTACCAAACCTATAGTCATACATGTAATTAACTTAATGAAATTAATTAAGTAGAGTAACTTAAGTATTCTTCATACTTACCAAACATATACATCTAAATAACAGTCCAATATATATACATTGCGATTGTTTAGCAAGGTATTCGTTAACTTTCCATGAGGAACTTCGACTTGTGGTAATTCCAAATAACCCATTCCAAGTTGTACTTGATATAATCGGGGTACAAGAGGCACAAAATTTGGATCCACGTGTTCCTATCATGAAAATCAGCGAAATAATTGTAATGAGATTAGACAAATAATTATATATATTAAAAGTAAAATGAGAGAATTGAGTTTTAAACTTAAATATAGAATTATATTTGTATTATTATTATAATATCGCTAAATAAGAAGACAAACTTACAACAATTTGCAGATTTTTCTGCTCATGTTCTTCCACGCCTAAATGTAGGAAAAAGTCTTCCGACTCGGTATTCATGACTTCAGTTATAATTTCGGCTTTATTCTTCCGTTCGTTCTTATTAATTTTCTCTGCCATCAGTCGCGCCTTTGACTTTAATGTGCTCTTCGCTTTTTTCCCATACCACATGAATATCTTATTCCCCGTATCGAGAACAAATACATAACCAGGATCCAGAGATTCGACACAGACTGGGACTGGTTCCAAGTGTATAGAAGCTCCCGCCGCGTGTACTCTGTATAAACGAGTAATCGCTGGCTGGAAAAGCAAAAAAATCGTGTAAACTTAAATTCTTTCAAAATTATAGTATAAGTATATATGGTAATTATAGTTACTATAGTAAGTATATATAATAAGTATATATAGTAAGTATATATAGTATAAGTAAGAAGTTACTCACTGTATCTTCCACTGTGTAAAAACCAGAGGATGTACGACCGCCTTCAATATACGTAATGCCTGAATCGAATAGCATCAAAAACTCATCTGATTCATCCCCTTGTTCTTCTCTGATTGTCCGACATTGTGCACCCAAGTAATTTCTTAGATTTACAGCGTGGATTGCCGCACATGCTCTTTTATCTAACTACAAAAATAAATTATAATTAATTATAATAATAAATTATAATTAATTGTACGCGATAATCAATGTGAAATTATTTTACGATATTTAAGCTTAGCTTTTTTCTATTGGTTCTCTGATTTGAAAGTATACGTACTGTTGCTTTTTCTCCGATCCAGAAATAAATCGCCCAAGTCAATGATCCACCTTCGTCTATCCCAGTTTTCAAGATGATGTAACAATCGCCCTCATAAAACTTGCCGTGTGCCACCTCCTCGATTTCGTTCGGCAAAAAATTCTCTATCTCCCAGACTGATAGACCAGGTATCTGACCTGCATCTTCATCGAAAAACTCGGAATAATCCAAGGGTGGCTTTTCTAAAGCTTCGTCCCATCGCTTGGGTCTAAAAAGTTAAAGTCAATCGTTAATTAATCGCAAGAGAAATGTAAGACATTGAAAACCAAATGCAATATATAATGCAATTAAAACTTGTACATTTTACTCACTTTAGAGATTCCGCTTTCGACTCTTCGCATTCCTTATCCTTGTTCTTCTCTTTCGCTATATCCTTCATGCCCTGAAAGTAATCATAAGTTATATATAATAATAATTATAAGTTTTCTCATATATAGGTGTTGTATTCTTTAGTAGCATACCTTAAGAATTTTGGCCTGATCTTGATCAGCTTCTTCCTGATCTCTCCTTCTTCTCAACCTCATTTTACGTGCGATTGGATCTTTACTGTCTATCAATCGAAAACACATTTGTGTAGAGATATCAGATTTTAGATATCAGATTTTTTTATTTTACTTTATCATATAATTACAATACATACTAGCAGCTTGGACTGGAACTGGTACATTAGCACCAGCAAGACGTAACTGATGTTGCAACGAAAAGTCGATATTATAAAATTCAATACCCGAGCCCCTTTGTACTTCTGTTGGTTTTGGTGGCATTACCAAATTCGGATTATCTCGTAAATCTAACTGTTCTAGATCGGTGAGAAGATGGATAGCATCCGGCACAGTAATCAATCGGTTGGACGTTAATATTAATTGCTTTAATGCGCCACATCTAAAAATATATATATATATATATATAGTTTTTTTTGCATTATTTTTTAGAAAAAGATTTTCTATATTCTTCATATACTAAGATAAGAAAAAAGCAACAGTTTCCTACCTGCATAATCCTTCCGGTATCATTTCTAAGTGATTATTAGCAGCAGAGAAAACTTGCAAAGATGATAACTTTCCTATTCCAGAAGGTATGCCCTCAAAATCTAATTCGTTATCATTTAAATACAATCTTCTTAACGTAGAAATTTTGCACAAAGAAACCGGTATTGCACTTAATTTATTTCGCGATACATTTAGAATTTCTAGTCTTGTCCATAGTTCTAAAAAAATACATATTTTTATTAGCGTGCCAAGAATTACAGATAAAATAATTAAAAGTTCATATATTTACCAATCGCTGTTGATAACTCCGTTATTTGATTGTCACTCAGATTTAAACGACGCAAATTCGATAGAGAATATAGCGCGTCAGGCACTCGAGGTAAATTGTTCTGTGACAAATCGAGCTCCTGTAGGTTAGTTAACGTTTCTAGACTAGAAGGTATATTATTCAAAGTTCGTTGTGTGTCCCGCATTTGTAACGTTGTTAAATTCATTAATGATGGCAATTGTCTGAAACAATTTGAGAATAAAGAATTTTTTTAAAGAAAAAAGAAAAGCCTTTCTAAAAACTGACATAAAATATTTCCTACCTTAATTGAAAATGACCTAAGGGATTGTGATTCAAATTTAAAGTCTGCAGATTAGCCAAACGTCGAGTCTGTGGTGGCACTGTTTCTAATTTGTTGTGACTAAGATCCAAGAATAATAAGTCTGTCAAATGAATGAACAATGTATTTGGTATAGTTTCGATACTGAAACAATAAAAAAAAAATACAGAGATCTTTTTATAATTTCTCCACAGTAATCATAAACGATGCATTTAATTGATACCCGATTGATACCTACTGATTATGGCTTAAATTAAGATTGAGCAAGGAACGTGCTCTTTCTAGGCCTTCAGGTACCTCCTTCAAATTGTTGTGACTTAAATCTAAAGTTGTCAATTCCTCTAAATGAAACAATTCCGCTGGGATACCACTAGATTTGATATTATTATGCCTTATATTCAGTGTCCTGAGACACCCTAATTCTGTTAGTTCTCCATATAAACGTTCCAACTTATTTTTAACAAGTGAAAGATGTTCCTGATGAATAATTAAATCTATTAATATACAATTCTCTAATCATTTATAAATAAAGCAGTAATTCTATTCTCATAAAAATCTATATCTATAAGTCATATGATTATCTTACCAATTTCAACAATTTGCCCATCTCCTCTGGGATCTCTGTCAGATTTGTTTTGTCCAATTTCAGCCATTGTATCCCTGTCATAAGACGCATGGATTCAGGAAATTTGCCATCCTAGAAATACCAGAGGTAATCTTTACTAAATCTTATCAAACATCTAGACATTGACAGATCAAAAGTGTCACGTCATTCAGTTATCTTATTTCATATCGGAGCAAAGGTACGTTAAGCTTAACGAAAGCATTACTATTTTAAAGATTAATGAAATTACAAATAAATTACAAATAAATATAATCGACATATAAATCGTGAATCGCTATTGAGGACACGACGTCGCAATTAACCGCGAGGTTAACCTCCGTGAAAATTCCCGGCGGTACTCACGCCAAAGTCATTGCTGCTGAAGTCCACGCCTCGCACAAACGGCAGCACCCCGGTGTTCGCCATCGCGTTTACCGACGACGACGACGACGACGATGTGCCGTCCGGAACACGAGAAGTACGTCCCGGGAGCAGGCCCCGTTAAGTGTCGGTGTCGCAGCGGACGCGGCGCGCCACGTCCATTCGTCGCCGATCACTAGACAGTATATTCACCGCGCGATCTTATCGCGCCATGCGGCGCCGTGATATCGCGACTGGATTCGGCTTCGCTTCGGTGTCGACTTCAACTGTCGCAGCGCCTCGGTCGTCGAGCGTGCTCGAACGCCGGCTCGGCGCGCATCACGACTGGAACGACGACCACAGCAATGACGACGACGGCCGGGTGATGTCGCGGTACGGACATTAGGGATCGTTCGGATAGATTTACATAGATATATAATGCGTATATGCATAAAAAATGAACCAATCACGCATCTAACGTGAAAAACGTATCACGATATAACCAATAAATTCACTCCGCGGAAGAATGCGGTTATAGCGCAGATTCATACGTGCAGGTCATGTCGTAGGTTGCCAGCCAATAAATTCAGCGCGACAGGAACGTATGTACGTGCTTTGTAAACGTAAGTGTGTAAACGTATGGATAAATTTGATAAGTATTTCTGAAAGATGAATACAGAAGACAAAATCATGTGTTTGATATTCGCAATAAAACACAAATAAAAATTTATAAGAATAAAAAATGACTAATGTTTAGATGATAGAACATTACTCAAGGTTGAATAATAATTAATTAGTTAAAAATAAAGTTAAAAAGTTAATAACTTTTAATTTAATTAATTTCAAATGAGTTAACTTTAACTCGTTTACTTTAACTCATTAACTTTAACTCTTTTACTTATTATATCAAATATATTCAACCAAATTTTTTTCTTTTATTTCGTAATAGTTTTAAGATAATCTAATTTTTAAAAATTGTTACAATTATGTTATATAATTATGTTATTGTGTTAATTATGTTACAATTATGTTATGTTATTATATAATTGTTATTTTATAGTTTAAATAATGCTGTTTAAAATTAAAATTTAATTTAAGTTAATTTAATTTTAGCATAACTGAATTAATTTTATGAATTCTATTAATTTAATTTTAAAAAGACTCTGATATTTCTGTATTCGAAATATTAGATATTAGATATTCAATCAAGAATACGATGGAATGGTTACGTAAATGATACCAAAGAAATCAAAAGTGATCAAAAGATCGAAATAGAATAAATCCACTGATTATATTATAATAATATAATATATATTGTTATATTTTTAATTATAATTAATATAATATAATTATTAATATAATATATTAATTAATATATTAATTAATAATATTAATATAATATATTAATATATTAATATAATAATTATTATTATAAAAGGTGACATTTATTACATTTTTTTTTATTATCTCAGAATATTTCATTTCAATGCTTAATTAAAATGCTTAATTAAAATGCTTAAATAAAAATTCTTACGTTTATTCTCAATATAAATCAAATAAATGTAACTTTGCCTGAAAATACATTATTATTGTTAACTGTATATAAGTTTTAATAAATAAATAATAAAACATACGTTAATTTATAATAAATTAGTATAAATTATTTTTAATTAGTGAATCATACATATGTAATAATGTTTTCAATAACAATATATTATAATCATTTCATGTAAATTCATTTTTCTCATGGCAATGATGTGTCAATTTATAATAATATAAAGAAAGAAAAAAAGTCTAAGTAAGTTTGAGCATCCTGCGCGTTTTGCAACTCGACGAGGCTTCAGAATGCGTACACACAAAAACACATACACATAATTCTCATTCTCGACGACGACGAATTCTCATTTTTCCCGTCGCTCTCATCGCTTCCCGCGCGCGTGAAAAATCCATGTATTATGGAGATTGTTCTCGACGAGGGAGTGGCGACGTAGGTAGCGATGCTGGATGCCTCGTCTCGAGCCGCAGAAATATATACGAGAAATATATACGTTTGCTTCCCGCCTGGCTTCGTATCGTGCGCGCGTGCGCGCGCGCGCGCGCGCGCATATGCATGGAACTTGAGTCGCGTTGTACCGGCGCGTTATCGGCTGAGGCGCCACTCTTTTGCTCTCTCAGAGAGACAGAGAGAGTATGCGAGAGAACCTCGTTGTGCCGTGAACGTGCTGGTTTTGCTCAACGTGTGAGCGAGAGCCTCCCTCGGCCGAATTATTCTTGAGACACAACTGGCAAGCGGGGCGTGTGCACGCTCACCCTCGTGTATATGGCTTCAGTTGAGGAAGTGGAGCATCAGGTCGACAGCGGCATGGGCAGCAGCGACGCGCGCTCTCCCGAGGTGAAGTCGCTCCTCCCCGACGACGAGGACGATGACGAAGAGGTGCGGGCCAGAATATCTTTGTACATCGGGGGAAGAAAAAGATGATTTATATAAGATAATTTGCAGAATAGTTTCTCTCATCGAGCTTGCGTGACTTTTACCTCGGCGATTTATAAATCACAGAAAATTTTAAAGATATTCTCGCGATGCTATTCTTGTTGAATTTTGTGATATCAGAAGATTGCCACGAAGCATTTAGTATTTAAAGAAGAGTTGATCTTTCAAGCTCGATTGAGACTAATTTTTATGATTGTACATATAATCAGTATACATGTGTACTATTTTACATTATTTAAGATTAAAATAATATTTGTCTTACGAGTATACTTTTGTTGCTTTCTTTAATAATAGTGAATAAGTTCTCATTCTATTTCTTCGTTATAATTTGTATTATTACTTGAAATCTAATTAATTTATTTTCAACTTAGGATGAGAGCTTAGCAGAGAGGTTATTAGGGCTCACTGAAATGTTCCCTGAACCAGTACGCAACTTTGGATATAATGTTGGAACCTGCCTATATACATGTATCAAAGGTAACATGATTCTTTGATATCTTGAGAAATGCTTATATCTTTTCACTATATACAACAAAGCATGAAATTTATGAGGCATACATAAACTACATAAATATACTTTTGCAGGTTTATATGCGTACTCGTGTTCGGCCACATGGTTGGTCTTTAGTTCATCCACCATTCTCTTTGCACCGATTATCTTTGAGATGGAGCGTGCACAAATGGAAGATCTGCAACGTACACAGCAGAAACAAGTCCTCTTAGGCCCTAACACAGCTCTATCCGGTGTCAATACCTCGGGTCTTCCAATGGCACCGCCTGTTCAACGATAGGCCATCACATAAATTTCCACGTACATGCATAGAAGGACACATACAGAAATTCCCAATTTAACCAAAAGGAAAAGAAAAAAGAAATAGCTCAAATCTGCCGCTCAATTGTCCAATAGCGCGACATGTAGACTGTACATCAAACGCGAACGAACGATCTCTATGGAACAGGAAATTCCATTAAATTGAGCGTGTATGATTTATCTAATTTAATTTATCCAATTGCAATTATTCTCACAAAATTGCGCGAGATAAAATTCAAAGTAAATATAAATTTGTATCGCTCAATAGAGAACACATGGAATTGTAACATTCGTCGGTCTAGTCTTCTCTGCCTCAGCGGTCACAAAACACTCACATATTTGCACATATTATGCACACATCATCGTTCCTTCTGTGGTAATTTTTACTAAGAACAACACACTGTGGTATCACGTGGCATTTTATTAGGCGTTGCAGGAGGGACATTGTGGTAGTATTTCGTTTAATGAGAAAGAAGCTACCCTGTCATTCTCTTCGCCTTCGTGAATAAACTATTAAAAAGAAAATTGAATGCAATTATTTATATCAGTTACTAAATAATTTGTTGCTGAAAATACGGTGATTGTGCTGTACATGTTATTGCTTTAGTGTATCTCTCCTGTTACTTTGTAATTTTGAAAGAACAAATATAAGACATAATAGAGTAGTGTCTTTAATTCCGTCATATCATCGAGGCTTTCCGTGTAATATTTCTGTAAAGTTTAACAAATAAAAGATATAATAATAGCCTTGTACATCATTAGCTTCTTTATAGTAGCTTGATTATATAATTTTTGCATTACTTGGAAAAAAATAGTTTTTCAATAAAAGTACAATTATCAATCTAAAGGTTTTTTGAAAAATCTATTAAGTTATTTTTTTATTGAGGCAGTTTTTTTACATACAGAAGAAATAATTCTTAATAAATCCAAAAATAATGTCTTGTACAGAATTTATTAATTATACATAATAATAATTCTCAATAATAATTAAAATTTTTAATAATCAAGATTATTTGCTATTATTTAACAAGATTGCAGTCAGTATTAATTCCACGTGCGAATGCGGTTGATCGTAAGATATGCGCATGATCTTAAATTGCGAGCGTCGTCGATCAAATTTTTGGTTAGAACTGCGTTAAATAACGACGACGATGAATCAGGCGAATGTTGAGAAGTTGGTCTCAAAATTGAAATATAATGTCAAACCGCGTCGACAGTTCAAAAATCCCGACGGTCCAGAGGGACGTCTTCACAAACTTCGAAAAACTCTGACGGCGTTGATTAAATATGAACGACTCGAGTTGAATTATCCGAAAGCCGACGAGACCAGAGGTTATGTTGACCAAGTATGTGTATTGGATTATTCAGGAAATTTATTACGACGTGGATATATTTTTTTTGTCTACGAGCATTCAAAGAGTAATTATTGACAGTGTTTGTCAATAATTTTTAATTTGTGCTCCACATTTGATTATAATTTTGTTTATATTGTCTTTTGTTTATATCTTAATTCTAATTTGTATGGTTATCGATATTATTTTTCACTTATATCCATTTTTATCGATGTAGATTAATTTTAATCTTGTTTAATTTGCTTTTTATATTTTTGTAATTCTTAGAAATAAAAAAAGAACAATTATAAATTATAATATAAGTTATAAATATAAATTAATTTACATTGATAAAAATAAATTGATTCTATGTGTGTGTGTGTGTGTGTGTGTGTGTGTGTAATTAACTTTGTAATATGTTACTAACTTTAACTTGTTATCGTAATTTGCTCTTGATATTATTTTGTTTAATTTCTTTTTGCAAATTATAATAGACATAATAATAATGTTTTCATTCTATAGTTGATATTTGAGGCAATACGCCATGGACCTACACACAAGGAAACAATGGATATGGCCAATTTCTGGATAATTGAGAAGCAACTTATACACAAACTGTTCAAAGTCCTTGTGCCAAGATATCAGAATTATACCACCTCATTTACAAAACTTCACAAAGCGCCGAACGTATATCCTATAGGTCACTATCAGAGGGCAATTTTAGAACTCAGAGGTAGGTCCATCTAAGATTCTTTGAAAAGTAAAAATTTTATTTATTCATACAATTATATTGGTTTTTCTTTGTTAGGTAACATATATCCTAAATTAGAACAATTTAATCCATATGAACGAAATTTACTTCATAATATATTACTTGATGCTGCAAAGAAGGAATATAGGATGGAAAAATACAAAGAAATAGCAGATAATATAAAACAATAAAGAGAAGGAATATAAAGAATGCTCTTGTACAGTGTATGTTTTTGTTAATTTAAGACTTTATATTATTAAAATAAACGTATAAAATTATATAACAATTACAAGTGAATTCTATTTTCTTACTTTGAAGGCGTAAAAGAATTTAATGGATAATGTTCTTTAAATTCCTCCATATGCTTTTCCATTAGATTCATTTGTTTCCTGAAATGTTATAAAATGAATTATAAAAAGTGAAACTAATGATTATAAGTGAAACTAATGATTATAAGTGAAACTAATGATTATAATTTTATTATATTTATAATTATTATATATTACGTCAATGTACCTGATGTGATCAGGGATTTCCTTATAGACATCCGTAAACAGATTCTTCCAATGTGGCTTGGACTTGCTTTCTGCCTCACTAAAGACACGAAGAATTTCCTTCTTAGTAGAGTCTATCAATTCCTGTTCTCTCTTTTGACACCATAATCCAAGCGATTCCAAATACAAACGGAATTTGGCAAGGGGCGTATGGATATTCCATTGAGCAATCTCATCGGTTGATCGATAAGCTGTGGAATCGTCCGATGTGCTGTGATGTCCAAGTCTAACAGATTCTTACAACCGTATTAGCCATACGAAAGTTTTGTTTTATAAATTTATTGTAGCAATATTACAGCAAGAAAAGTAGAATTGTCAAGCTTCACCTGTAGGTCATGGCTTCTATCAGGACGGGTTTTTGCTGCTTTATACAGAATTCCCGAGCCTTTTTTGTAGTGTAGTAAACTGCGAGCACATCGTTGCCATCTACTCGGATCGTGTTAATTCCATAAGCCGGGCCTTTGGCTGCGATACCATCCCCCTTGAACTGTTCCAAGGCTGGTGTAGAGATGGCATATCCGTTATTTCGACTGATTGAAATAATTTATTATTAAGATGTGTATCTTGTGTGAAAAACAGGAAAAAAAAGGATTATTAAAAGATTACCAGAAAAAAATGATGGGACACGACAAAGTAGCCGCGAAGTTGAATGCCGCGTGAGCGTCGCCTTCGCTCGCTGCACCCTCACCAAAGTAACAAACCACACACGCATTCTTTTTGTCCAACTTGAAAGCGTAGGCGGCCCCCACAGCTGCGAAAGTGAAACTTGTTTCAGAACGCTCTGTATTATTGATCACAACAACTGAAGCATCTAATAAAGCTACAATTGTTGGACGCTATTCAGCAAACGAATGTTACTTGCGAACGTTTTTAATACCTTGTGGAAGTTGAGTCGTCAACGGAGACGATATAGTCACGAAATTCAATTCTTTGGAACCGTAATGCACCGGCATCTGTCTCCCTTTGCCATCGTCCTCGCAATTACCATAACACTGATTCATAAACTTCAACAATGGATATCCACGATGCAGCAACACACCTGTTACATCGATATGCAATATTTGAGATATATGTAACAGCAGATAGATATACACAATTTAATTTCATACCAGCCTCGCGATATTGTGCGTAAATCGTGTCCTCCAGTGTCAAAGCGGCGGCGGAGCCAATCTGTATTGCTTCCTCGCCTGTGTTCGTCATATAAAACGAGATGCGACCTTGCCTTTGTGATTCATATAGAATCTTATCCATGATACTTATAGTCACCATATCACGGTACATTTTCACCAGATATGTTTCGTTCAACTGTAATATTCAATATTCAATTTTTTTTTCTTCAGTTTATTTCGGCTTATTATGTAATATACATGTCTATTTTTTTTTATTTTAATCAAGAATTTAAATCAAACTTTGTTTCATTATAAAAAATTTTATTCTTTATACAGGATTTTTATGAAGAAATGAATCTCTCTCTCGGTACAAATATATGTGATAATAAAAAATTAGAAGCATATTTAAAACTAGATTTACAATGCATACATATATATGTCCTTAAATTTAATATAATATATGTCCTTAAATTGTATATAATATATGATTCTGATAACTACTACAATCAAACCTTTTCATCTATAGGCAATTCAACCTTTTGTGAAGGCTCCAAAATCCTATATATTGGTATAGGTTCATAACTGTCTCTATTGACAAATTGAACATTATTGGTAAAGTTACTGTTGATTCCCAGGAATTGCGGTTCATTCGTTCCAGTACTGTATTGTTTTAACTAAAAATAAGATATTAAAAAGAAGAAATCATTTAATATTTAGAATAATGATTTGTTTAATTTATATTTTTATTTATTATATTTAATTATATTTATTTATAGCTATATTAAAAAATTTGAATAAGTATAAATAAAATCTTCGTATAAATATATATAATAAAATCATTCAATGTTGCATAAATTATTGTTTAGATATTCTCCTTAGCTTTGTTGCTCTAGAGAAAAAAAGAAATTAATTACAAAATGTGTAATATTATAATATACGATCGTAAAGTATCACAAAGTAAAGATGTTTACGAAACGCATTCGTCACAAGCATATGCGTGAATCATGATTTAATAAATCTATATTGTTACAACGAATTACAATGAGCAAACAATTGTTCATTTATTTATTCATTTATTCATTTATTGTAGGATATGTGGCATGATACCTGTAACAGAGCACGTCGAAAACGCGGAACGGTTCGGAATAAGTTTCTCATGATCATCTTATGTTCGGGTTTCCTCTGTGATCGCACGACGCGCACATGCGTGATTCTCGCACTGAAAACCGATAATGCTGATAACGCACGTCACGCATGTGTTCACGCGCGAGTACGTCACGTGATATAAACGCATACGTCAGGCCAAAGAATTAACAGAAGTTAACCTAACAGAAACGTTTTTCAATAAAAATAACGAGGATACTATGGAGGATACTATTATGCAGATGGATTTGTATGGATTGCTCGGTGTGGAATCGACGGCTTCTATGCCAGAGGTAAAAGGTTTTAATTTATTTATTAGTTTGTAATTTGTTTTGTTTCTTACAAAAACTATTTTTATTCGCGCAAACAGAAGTTCTTCGATGAATCGAAAAGACTTGATGTCATTCGCGGTTTTTCTTCCAGATAAAAAAGGCGTACCGCAAGAAAGCATTGACATGCCATCCTGACAAGAATCCTGACAATCCGAGAGCCGCAGAATTATTTCAGGAACTCTCGAGAGTACTGGAGATATTAACGGATGAAAATGCTAGAGTAGGTATATCAATATTTTTTTACAGTTCATTAACATCGTTATCATAAATACCTTTCTTCTTAGACTTCTAGAAAGTCTCGTAGCTGATCTAATTTATTAAAAATATGTTGTGAAATAAGGCAGCGTATGACAAAGCCATTGCTGCCAGGAAGCAGGCGAAGGAACGCGTTAGACAGTTTGATGCCAAGAGAAAAAAATTGAAGGAAGACTTAGAAGCACGCGAGGAGGCTTATAAGAGGTCGTGTGATCCTGCACCTAAAAGTAAATCTGACAAAGAAAGAATGATGGTATATTACCTGCCATAATACTTTAAAGATATATAATTGTTTAGGAATTGTAGGAATTGAAAAAATATATAGAATATGTGATTATTCAGGCGGAAGTGAAAAGATTACAAGAAGAATGGTATAAACAAGTGGAAGAAGAGATGGCCTTTACACGAAAACTTTTAAATCAATTTGACAACTTGTCGAATCCAGGATCTGATGTAGGCAATTTTCGAATCAAGATCAAATGGAAGATACAAGCTGGTGATCCAACAAGTGGCGGTTATAATTATGATAATTTGCATAAAATGTTTTCCAAGGTAAAACTCTAATTCTACAGTTTTAAAAATTATATTTTAGATATTCTTATTATTTTTCTTAATATTTCTTTTTTTTCTAGTATGGAGACATAACGGCTCTTGTTGTATCATCCGCAAAGAAAGGCAATGCCTTGGTTGAATTTGGAACTAGAAGTGCAGCAGTAAGTTTACTAGATTTTTGACAATGCAATTCGCTTGTATATATACATGATTCTTGAATTCAAGATGAAATTATTTAATAAAATATTTATTTTAGGAAACAGCGCTTCTAGCAGAGATTGGTTTAGCTGAAAATCCATTAAGACTTAGTGGTCTATGGGATACAAAAAAACATTCTACCGGTGCTGCAAGTAGTGCAAATTTTAATATTAGGAATCCTACATTTCCTACAATGGCACATTTCAACAGCACACCATGCGCGTCTGTCAGTTTTTCTTCCGCACCTGATATATTCGTACGTATTATTTATATTAAGATGGACTTTTTTAAATTTATTGTTATTATTACTGTTAAAATCTTATGATGTTCTCGCGTTATAGACACAACAGCCAAGACTGTCGGACGCAGAATTTGAAAGTTCTGTATTAACTAATCTAAGGAGAGCAGAAGAACGCAAACGGCTCATAGAGGAATTGAAGGCGCAAGATGAAAATTAATTCGGGTATCGACATAATTTATATCCCTTTGTGTGTATATTTATTTTTTTCTATATGAGAAATATATAGTAAAAATATCTATCCTTAATGTTTAATTTTACTTAGCTCATCAGGGGTAAAACGCAATACTGTTGAGATAGCGTTTAACATATGCCGTTTACTCGACGCATCATTTGTCGTTAAATAATTTATAAATACGTTCTTCAAATATTCTAAATTGGCACCTTCTCTTGACTTGCATGCTTCCAACCTGTAATACAAATCTTTTTGTTGATTCCACGCATGTAAAATACTTACTTTACTTTTTATATAAAAGTCTTATTAATAATATCGATTACCTAATGATATGCACTTTTAGTTTTTTAATCTCTTCCTGTTGCTGTTCTTTCATATGAAGCATTTCCCTTTGCTGTTCTCTCAATGCTGCCTCTAATTCCAGAATCTTTTTCCTTGATGATGACACTTGCACCTCTTTCCTGGCTAATTCTTGAGTATAATGCAATATCGGAGGACTATCGTTCGTCAATAATCCCGTTACTAAATCGGTAACTGGTTCAATGGTACTCTCATATCTTTTCAAATGCATCTTATTTTCCATTGCAGCAGCAGTCTCTTTGTTAGGTAGGAATGCGCGAAATGATGCCTTTAGGGTCAGTATCTCTTTATCTTTTTCCTCCACAAGAGCCATGGATCTCTCTCTTTGTCGCAATAACTGTTGTTCCAATGTGGATATTCTATTACGATATTCGTTATCTTTTTGATGCAACGTGTGTTCCAATTTCGAGCGTTCTTCTTGAAACAACTGAGAACATGGATTGCTTATTTCTTTTATTCTTTTTTCATTTCTTTGAAATTATTTTATTATTGAAACAATTACCTTTTGTTGATACTCCAATTGCTCCTGCAAAGCTCTCTCTTTATTTAACATTTCATTGTTAATCGTACGTATTCTTTCTTCTAAATTACTATTATGGACTTTAAGCAAGTTTAATTGAGTTTTATCATGATCCTTATCATGCGTCAAAGACAAATTATGTCTTTGTTGTTGGTTACTACGAAGTACATTAGACGACATATTAAACATACGCATCGTCTGATGCTTGTAGTCCTCGAATTCTTGTAGAAGCGTATCGTATTTCTCCTTATAATCGAGATGTTCATCCCGCAGATCCAAACTATCTAATAACGCTAAATACAAAATACACATTAAGTAATTTAAGTAATTAAATTATTTACTCAATTTCTTACTCATTATTTACAATTATTTACTCAAATTCTTATTTCATATTTCATCTTTGATATTTCACTTACATTTTATATAGGCCGAATCCTTCTTTTTATTGTCAAGATCCAGTAAACGAGTATACAGAATTTTTATCTTGGAAATAATTTCCTCCGGGTGGTTGTTCGACGTTACAATTTCGTTGTGTTCAGTGTTCTGCAAAGCAGCCAACTGGTCTTTCAACTTCTGAATAGCCAATTGGTCTTGTTGCCTCAGTCTATCATAGCCTCCAACAATCTCAGATAGTTCAGCTAATCGCGCCTCCAAACCGGCTACTCTCGTTTCGTGTATGATAACTGATCCTCTCGCTTGTTGTTCTGCAGCGGCAGCTCGTTTTTGTTCCTTCATTAAGATATATCATTTAACTTTATTACATCTGATGATTTTATTATACAAAAACTAAAATAATTCTTGACGAATTATCTTTACCTCACGAATCGCATTCAAGTGTTGCTTTTTCATTACGGCCATCTCGGTTTGTAAGGAAAGAAGAATCGGCGGGGTCTCTTTCGCCGCTTCTTCGGCCTGTTTGAGTTTGGTCTTGGTAATCTCTAGTTCGGCTTCGAGAATCTTGCATTGCGTCTTATTTGCAAGATGCGTTTTCAATTGTCCTTCCAACTGTTCCTTGTTGCGTTGCTCCTCGTATACTAACTTCTGCAGTTCCCTGCAAAAATATCATTCATGGATTTATCTCATACAGTCCATAAATATGTAACAAAGATCATTAATATTAATATTCGCAAATTACGTAGGTATATTGTATTAATTTCACATAATTAGAAAAATTCACGTTATTAATATACTTTATTCTTTTGACGAAGTCGGCACGTTCTTTCTCTCTGTCGTGCCGCTCCATGATTAATTTGCACTTTACATGCTCAATTTCGGAATGATTGACACTTTGAGCCTTCTTCAGTCTATCTTTCAGATCCTTAATTACTTTTTCACACTGCAATCATTAACTCAATTAAATAATTTTGAGGATAAACGTCGGATTTCTCTTCTTACCTCGTCACGTTCGCTTCTCAATTGCTTTTTATCGATTTGAAAGTTAGCTTCCATTTTTGACTTTTCTGCCGATAGAGTGGCTAATTGATTCATTAATGTGCCTAATTGATTTTTTAATTGCTCTATACTTTCCGTATCTTCGGGATCTGTCTGACTTTCACGTGTCTAAAATTATAAGAATAAAATTAGAGGAATATGCCATTGATCTTATGAAAAAAGTTACTGTACCTGTCGTTGATTAATAAATTCATTTTTAGAAGTGGACGATTCGTCTAATTTTGACTTAGCTCTATTTGTGTCTTCTGTATTTTTTTCTACAATCTCTACAGCCTTATCTAAAGTAAAATTTTTTTATAAAATAATATGTTAAATAATTCTTTTAAATGTATTCAAATAAACATCTATACCTTGAGCTTCTTCTCCCGATTTGCTACTCTCATTTTGCATAATGGACTTTTTCTCTTCAGAAGTTGCCATTGTTGATTATTAAATGCAAATTATTAAGCACAATCTGCTAGTCAGCATCTGAAACAAAATTGCAAAAAATATTATAAGATATTCTAATTTCGATCAGTTTAATTATCCTAAATGTTTATAACACTATGTAATTAAAAATATATCAAAAAGCATAAATCATACATTAAGAAATATTCAAATAAAAATTATTCAAATTGTATCTAAAAATAAATTATTAATATAAGCAATTCTTGTATGCTATTATATAAATTATGCTTTTCACATGTTTACATTTATTTGTGTTTAGCTTTTTATATTATATATAAAAATATTAATTAAGAATTTCTCTAATTTAGATTTTAAAGCAGATTGATTTAAAATGACTGGGTTAAATAAATATTACAATACATTATATTCAATATGAGTTTATTAGTTTGTTACAATATATAAATACAGATTTGACTTAATCAGATATTCTCTTGTTTTCTGCATTTCCAGCATCATCATTGCAAGTTAGCTTAGTTGAGGATTCTATTTCTAATGTCACTGGCCCACTATTCTGTATGCAAACTTCCATCATCGCACCGAACTTGCCATCTATACAAGTTTGTCAAAATTTCAGTTTGCTCCGTTAAGCAAAATGTAAAAGAATGAATCACGAATTCATGCTGATTTTAATTATATTACCTTTGACTAATTCTGGATTGTAGGCTTTACGAAGCTCAGCAAGAAAATTCATGTAAAAGGGTTCTGATTCCTGTGCAGGCATCGCTCTGTGAAAGTCCAACTTGTTGCCTTTCAATACATGGTACAATGTGAACTGACTAACGCACAATATCTCATATTTTTTGTCCACTACACTGGCACTCCATTTTTTATCCTTATCATCAAAAATTCTAGTGTTCAGTATCTTTCTCACACTACGACAAAAAAATTGATGTTCAAACGGTACAAAAACACACGTAGTTGTACTCATTAATATCGCTTCATTACATGTATTTCATATCTGCCACTCCGTCGTCTCTCTTCATACCGATTAATACACATAGTCCGTTCCCGATGGAACTAACAATCTCACCGTCAACTGAAAAATTACACTTGGATCTTAACTATCGTCGAACAGGTTCTCATACGATTCGAATTACTTCTTATCAATCTGCATCGCGAAAATCGCAAATACATTGATACCTCTACTGTATCCGTCAGACATACGGTAAGTATGTTGTCAAGACGAATGCAGATTTAGAAACTCATAAATGTCAATAGAAAGTGCACGTCCAACCTGCAAGATTTACCTGAAACCGAAGCCTTCGACACTCGCTGTATTACGGCTTTCATGTCAAAGGCTGCTCAATCACGACGTCCACAATCCCACGTTACATCTGATAAATATCTCCTTTCCTCTTGCAGTGGTTAATAGCTGTTAGTAATGCAGCATGCGCAAAGCAGAGGTTCTCAAAATGATATTAGAGAAAGTGCAGAGAGCGTCGTGTGATCATTCCCGGCAAAAAATTCTTTATATAACATATAAATATAAATACATAATAGTATAAATATATATAATTATGTATAAAATATGTCCAGATATGTTCCATATTAATTTCTTTTTGTTTCTAAAATTTCTGTTTTTCTAAAGTTTCTGTTATAAGAAAAATAATAGAAAAGACAAAAAAATAATTAAAAGAATAATTTTCGCCAATAATGTTTGTTTCTTTTTTCTCTTCGAATTTAGATTTAAGTCCCCTCGTTCATTAGGCATTAATCGATTATTTAGTACAAATAAATAAATGCAATAAAAAGCTGATAAGAAATTTTCGATATTAAAATTATATATAAAGAGAATAAACGGGCTAATATAAGTCAAGCATAGATAATTAACAAGTAAATTGTTTAAATTTTATTGACAAATAAATTTCTTTTCCTTCCAAAGAAATAATCCAGGTTCTGATAGAACTATAAGGAATTATTTTCATTATTAATTATTAATGATGCAAAACTCATCTTGAATTTGTGTCAAACTTCAAATCATTCTGTTAAATTTCTTAACAAATTAATACGTTTCTTTTTACAATCTTCTTCTTGATCGACTGCCACAAACAAAATATTATGTGTGTAAATTGAATTTTTAACTAATCAATATAATAAATCGAGATAAGTTTCAAACAATGAAATAATAGCTGGCATTGCTCGACAGACAGAATCTTATAATTTTTCATTTTTCTTGAATTTATATTTATAAATTCGAAACAATTGCTTAATATCGCGCTCTATGTCCCGTTACTATTAACTTCCGATGTAGCAGCTCAAAGCTATATTTTTAAATAGAACCTGAAATATAAATAAATCGATACCTTGAATCAAATCTAAAAATCGATTATATTGCCGTTTTCCTTATCTATACGAAACAAATTTTTAAGTTAAAAACAGTAAAAATAGGTTCATGCTCTGTACTACATCATATCATCTACATCACATTAGACGAACAATAGTCGCGCTAAACGCGCCGAGCCGAGCGGAGGAGAGTGAAGGTGGGCCGCTAAATGGGCGGCGCGCGCTCTAGTGATAACTGGAGATAACTGCCCGCAGCGGCCAATCGGGGATCGAACGACAGTCGCGGGAGCTCATTTCCGTTGGTACGGGCCTCCTCCTACGGCACTGCCCGCCACACAGCCACCAGTTCACTCTCCGCGGATTGTTTACAAGCGCGCGCGCGTTCCTGGGACTCTTGCGTATGTGCGCGGTATATATACGACGTGTGTATAAATAAATCGCGCCACGGGCTCGCGTCGTAGCAGCGTCCGCGGTAGCAACGGTAGTAGCGTCATTCACAACGCTCGCCGTCATCGTCGCCGATCACTCGTCGATTCCCGCGAGGGATGTACGCGTCGCGACGCGTCGTGCCCTCCAGTAATCCCCGTCATCGCGACGCGATAGCGGGGCTCGCCGTCGCCACCGTCGCTGTGGCGTAATAACGCGCGCGTGTGTATATATATGTATATATACACGCGCCCTGTGACCCACTTGTTGCGTCTAGGTTATGGTGTTATAAACAAAAATATGCTGCGCACAACAAACACGTCGTCCGTGAGTCGTGCGAACCGCCGTCCGTCGTGAGCTCGGGGCCACGAGCGAGCTTTTAAGTCCGGTACCGGGGCATGGAGACGGGCCCGGGGCTGAGCCTGTTTCAGGGCTCAGAGAGTATACAGCTGAACGCGGTGGGGCAAGGACTCGAGGAGGACGAGGAGCAGGAGGACAAGAGGCGACTCAATGAGGAGGTAACGCCGCCTTGATTCCCGCGGAAGGAAACTCCATCCGGAAAACATATTTGTGCATTCAGAAATTGTACTCTTATGTAGGATTTTTTTCATTATGAAAAAGAATGGATTTTTCATGTATCATTATTCTCTGCTCAGATATTATTCTCTGTTCTTTGCAGAGAAGGTGGAAATTCTTAAACAAGGCCCACCGTATAAAATTTGGATGCAAGAGAATTTTTTAATTTAAGACTGTCCTCTCTATGCTAGGAGAAAACAATGTATGAAGTCCATGTATAGAGATTCTCCATTAAATGGTTTTACTATTATGCTAAACTGAATGAAAATGGAACTAATGAAAATGGAGAGATGAAGTGTTTAAATGCATGATTTTTTTTGTTAGGAAAGTTAATATATTAATGTGATATATATTATTGTTATGATAGGTAGGATTGTGGAAATGCATGAGATTTTCAAGAATTTTACAAAACTTTACAAAAAGAAAGATTTTGAGTTGAATCCTTATTATACTTAAAATAAATATGTTTGAAGAAAGTGAAAAAAGGGACAGAAATAAAGAACAGGCTTAAAAAAAGAAATACAAAGGAAATTTTGGTAATGTATTCTTTTTTATCTTTTCAGATTCAGGATCGCCTAGACAAAGAGTTTGATGATTTGGACGATGATGCCAGTTCTATTAATAGTAGTCATTATCAGGATGACAATACCAGAGACACTGATCATACCGATACGGTGGTCAACTCTGGCCTGGATACTCCAGCCAAAGCTCAGATGGCAGCGGTGCATCTGCAGAAGGAACTTGGTGTCTATGACCGGATGGAAAATCTGAATAATTACGATCGCGTGGAGAATCTGAACAATTATGATCGCGACGTGATAACAAATCACAGATCTGACTCTGAGACTGGCGGTGGGACCATACAATCCGACTTTGATTTGTACAGACATACACCGTACGGTAATAACAGATTAAATGACAGCAATAACACCACGCTGGAAACGCCATACGAATTGGCGAAACCGCCAATCGAATATCCTCGCAAAATGCACCTACAGTTGGCTGACGAATGCACATTTGGCGAGAATTATCCTTATAATTATGAGACACCATCCAATCATTACAATACTCACATACCCAAGAAATACTCCAATAATGGTATTAATGACTCATATGAAAATAATGTACAAAATAAACAGATTCATGAGTTTGGTGGAGGCGACAATGTTACTTCGGATCACATGAATCATTGCTATAAGACTAGTCCGAATGGCAGGCCAATGGACGATGATATAGCATATAAAACAACAGAATTAAATAGCAAAGAACAGTTGGAAGTAATGTATATGGTTAGAATGAAGGAGATTAATCATTTGACAGAACAGCTGCAACAGCTACAGCTGGAAAAAGAGGACGAGAAGGCCCAAATGAGTAGAAGATTGATGTTATTGCAGGCAGAAGTTGAAAGAACAAACTTATCAAGGAATCAAGCCCAAGAGGCATTAGGTAAAGATGAAAAGATTGTCAAATCAGAGAATTTTTAAGGATATTGATATTAATTATTAACAATATTAAATAAACCAAGAACTGTAATATTTTGCGATATAGATGTGTGTTCTATCAGTTTATTTCAAGTTTTCAATTTTTTTCTTATCTTTTTTTCAGTTGATGCCAAGGCCGAGATAACTGATCTGCAAATGCAAATGGAATCTCTGAAAGAAAGAAATGCAGTTTTGGAAAAGACAAATCAAAATGTAAGATGTATATGTATATTTGCACTTTATTTTGATTCTGATTAGATTTGTCGACATCAACGATATATTGTTTTTATAGATAACGGAAGAATTAAATATTGCAAGGGACTCTGTCATAGATTTGCAACAGAAGATCGCTGTATTGGAAAGAACACAGGTGTTGCAATCAAATGACAAGACACAGGAAAAGTTTTTAAAACAAGCGCAGGAAAAGCATGCGGTGGAAATGAAAAATATGCAAACTCAGATAGACGTTCTCACCGACAAATTAAACACCAAGGTATTATCTCGCGAATTCTTTGTTTAAATTATTCATTACTTTTTACATATATATTCTTTCTATAATCATATTTGCCATAGCTGCTCAAAAAGGATACCAGCAACAATAGTGTTTGGGCAAGTCTCTATTAATTCTATTAATCTTTGCAGTTGCATGATTGCAAAATTTATATTTTTTTTATCGTGTTTTTTTATAGCTTACACTTTGGCATAAGTATAGTGTACATTTTATATGCATAGGTATAGTGTACATTTTTATGTATTATATCTTATTGTATTTATTTTATAAAAATTGCTTTGCATATTTATGTACAACATAGTTAGTTAGATTTAATTTTATTAAATGTAATTTGTTTAATTTTTAATAGGAAACATCATGTGTTGTTCTTGAACACAAATTGGATGACGCGCGAAGAGCACATGAGGCTCTTATGGTGGAGAAGGGTGACACCATGAATCGATTGGCGCAAGCATTGCAAGACAGTCAAACTCAATGTCGCAATCTCATGGCCACTAATAATGCTCAGCAGGTGATGCAGTTACAAGCACAAGTAAAAATGTTGATCCAAGAAAAAGAGGAGCTACATAAAAACATACAAGAGTTGCAGGTAACTTCTATGTTAATTTTATTTTTTTAATGTGGATTAAAAATTGATTTTATAT